AGTGTATTAAGGGAATCTGCTTCTGCCCATCCTTTCTGGCAGAGCTTATGCCTCTGCCTCCAAGAAGTCATGCCTGTGGCTCTTGTTCTGATCTACACTCACATGGTGCTTGCTTATATTTTAGCTGTTTCCCAGATAACTATGCAGGGAATACCTTGAAGGTAAGAACACTGTAGAATTCATCAGAGAGTTCTCAGTATCCTGCTTAGAGTCCTGTAATAACCAGTCTCATGAAAAGTTTGTGCAGTGAATAGTTGAATAAGAGCAAGTGGTTCCTCAACAAATTGTTATGCCAGTTGAAGAAGTCTACAGACAAACTAGCCTTATTCTGTAAAAGTGTGTGTGTCATGAGTATGTATCAAAGAAAGTTTGAGGAACTGTTCTAGATGAAAGAAGACTGAGGGTCCATGCAATGTGTGATTCCAGTTTTGATCCTGGCTTATATCTGAGTCTGGGGTGGAGGGTAGATTGCTATAAAGCATATTGTTTGGATAATTGAGGAAATTTGAATATGAGTCATGTATTAGATAAAAATATTTTGTCAGTGTTAAAATGTACCAAATTTGATCATTATTGGTTAGTGCTTTGTAAGAGAATGTCCTCATACTAGGAAGTACGTCCTGAAATATTTGGGAATAAAGGGGTATGATGTCTGAAACAAATTCTCATGTAGTCTAGGAAAAAACCGAAAGAAAAGGAGTGAGGTAAAATGTAATGAGAATCTGAGTGAAGGATATACCTGAGTTTTGTGTGTGTGCACGCTTTTTTTTAACTGCTGTGTGAATTTGAAATAATTTCAAAATAAAAAGTTAAAAAAAAATAATCTATGCACTTTAATGTGTGCCACGTTCTTGCTATAAACTATAAGAAAGATGGGACAAAGAATGGTTCCCCCCCGGCTTTGGCTTTTATTATTTTTAATCCAGCAGTATTCAGTGAAGTTCTGATACAGCTCCTCCACTGTGTGCCTTTGAACACATAGAACAGTGGTAATGATGATAGTTAACACTAGAAGTACACATACGTTTTTGGTTACCTCAGTTACCAGACTGATAAGGTGGGATGCCTGAGGTTCAGAGGTTAACATGACCTGCTGACAGTCACACAGTCTGGAAGAGACGTGCGGGCTTATATCCGCATCAGGCTGTTCCAAGGCGGGTGCTTTCTGAGCCTGTGTTTGTGTATCTATAAAAAGAAAGGATTGGATAGACTCATCTCAGCACATCCTTCTTTACATTCGGAAACTTGAAAACTTTATACGAAAAGAAGTTAACTGGTTATGAAGCATGCAGATACATCACGCACTGCATCTTATTTGTTATCAGTGCTGCGTAAGTGACACTGTGTAAGCTCCCCCTCACTGCCCATTCACTGCCCTCTGGAGTAGTCCAGCTATGGCAGTGCTGGGATGGGCCGCCTCACCGGGAATGAGAGCACCTGGAGAGATTCCTAGGGGCCAAGCCCTGAGCCACGCTTGAAAGAGAGTGTTCAGTTCAAGGATTGAAAGCAAAAGATGCCAGAAAGGCCCCATCCCGTGTCTGTGGAGTTGTAGCACTGGGACCTGCCTGGAATTGTCTCACCCGTGCTGGGTTTTGAGAGCTGCCTTTCCTCCCTCTCCCCACCCCTCCCAGCCCAGGCCAACCGGTGGATAAGGCACAGATGGAGGCTGCGTGTGGATTCTAGCCCCAGGCACCTTGCCTCTGCTCAGATAGCAGGGCCTGGTGCTGTTATTACTGTAAACAGGACCTTCTGTGAGGCTCCAGCCAGGGCCCTGTTGCCCAGATAGCAATCATGATTGAGTCTGCATGGCTCACTGCTTCCAGGCCTCTGGTGCAGGTGGGACAGGGCTCCCCACCCTTCAAGCCCCTCCCCAGCTGCAGCTGAGGGCAGTTCTTGTGAAGGGTCCGGAAATGAGTTGGAACAATACACGATTGAAGTTCACTGGCCGTTTTGTATTGATTGGTCATAAAGAAGAAGGAAGAAAAACCAAGTGGTACCTCCCTCCCCTGAGTAGAAGAGCTGATCAAGCCAGAATAGCTCAAAACTGCCCTGTATCCCTGTCTGGGACTCCCTCTCTCCAATAAACAGCAAACCTGAGGAGTTCTCTCTTTGGAAGTCATGCTGGTGCCTGTGACTGCTAGGAGTTCAGTTCTCAACTTCTTTGATGCTGTTGATATTTTGAATCCTAAGACTTTAGGTTCTGGCAGGGACTTGAGAAATCATTTAATTCAGTTCCCTTATTTTACCACAGAGAAAAGTGAGGCCCACAGAGACAGATTTGTCCAGGTCACACAGCTAGTTGTTGAGAGAGCCATGACTGAAGCCCATGGTCTCCAGCCCCAGGCCTGTGTCTAAGTGTCCTCAGCCCTGAGAGTGAGAAGCCATGCCTACAACCTTCCACTTTTATGCAGGAGCCTGAGTTCTTGGGAAAGACAGGCATATGAGTATAGGGGAGAGGTCTATGTGGGCATTTTGTAGAATGCCACATGCATTCATTTGTCTAGCCCCTGAGCCACTGTGCCAGCACCAGGAGTCAAGAAACAAGGCATTTCTAGGGAGTGATGCTGACTACTGGGAATGTGGGGCAGGGAAACTGACAGCTGTAGATATGGGTTAGTATAAGCCAAGGCTATCTTTTTTTTTTCCCCCATTTATTTTTATTCGTTGGAGGCTAATTACTTTACAATATTGTTTTGCCATACATTGACATGAATCAGCCATGGATTTACATGTGTTCGCCATCCCAATCCCCCCCTCCCGCCTCCCTCTCCATCCCATCCCTCTGGCTCTTCCCAGTGCACCAGCCCTGAGCACTTGTCTCATGCATCCAACCTGGGCTGGTGATCTCTTTCACCCTTGATAGTATACTTGTTTCAGTGCTGTTCTCTTTGAACATCCCACCCTCGCCTTCCCCCACAGAGTCCAAAAGTCTGTTATGTACATCTGTGTCTCTTCTGTTTTGCATATAGGGTTATCGTTACCATCTTTTTAAATTCCATATATATGCATTAGTATACTGTATTGGTCTTTATCTTTCTGGCTTACTTCACTCTGTATAATGGGCTCCAGTTTCATCCATCTCATTAGAACTGATTCAAATGAATTCTTTTTAATGGCTGAGTAATATTCCATGGTGTATATGTACCACAGCTTCCTCATCCATTCGTCTGCTGATGGGCATCTAGGTTGCTTCCATGTCCTGGCTATTATAAACAGTGCTGCGATGAACATTGGGGTGCACGTGTCTCTTTCAGATCTGGTTTCCTCGGTGTGTATGCCCAGAAGTGGGATTGCTGGGTCATATGGCAGTTCTATTTCCAGCTTTTTAAGAAATCTCCACACTGTTTTCCATAGTGGCTGTACTAGTTTGCATTCCCACCAACAGTGTAAGAGGGTTCCCTTTTCTCCACACCCTCTCCAGCATTTATTGCTTGTAGACTTTTGGATAGCAGCCATCCTGACTGGCGTGTAATGGTACCTCATTGTGGTTTTGATTTGCATTTCTCTGATAATGAGTGATGTTGAGCATCTTTTCATGTGTTTGTTAGCCATCTGTATGTCTTCCTTGGAGAAATGTCTGTTTAGTTCTTTGGCCCATTTTTTGATTGGGTCATTTATTTTTCTGGAATTGAGCTGCAGGAGTTGCTTGTATATTTTTGAGATTAATCCTTTGTCTGTTTTTTCATTTGTTATTATTTTCTCCCATTCTGAAGGCCAAGGCTATCTTAGGGAAGACTTCTGGGGGGAAGAAGGGGCAAGTCTTTCTTTTTCTTTTTTAAAGTGATTCCTTTTTTCAAATGGTTTTTTTTATTGGAGTATAGTTGGTTTGCAATGTGTTAGTTTCTGCTGTATAGTGAGGCGAGTCGGATATACGTATTTTTTCAGATTGCTTTCCCTGCAGGCCATTATAGAGCATTGAGTAGTGTTCCCTGTGCTATGCAACAGGCTCTTCTTAGTTATCTAGTGTACGTATAGTGTGTGTATGTGTCAGTGTCAGTCTCCCCTGCTGCCTTTCCCCCTTGGTGACCATGTTTGTTTTCTACATCCGTGACTTGATTTCTGTGTTTTATATATATATATATATATATTTTTTTTTTGGTTGTGCTGGGTCCTTGTTGCTGCGAGGCTAGTTTCTCTAGCCTCAGTGAGCAGGGGCTGCTCTTTGTTGGGGTGCCTTCTCGTTGCAGTGGCTAGTCCTGCTGCAAAGCCCAGGTTCTAGGTGTGCGGGTTTCAGTGGTTGCCACACTGCAGCTTGGGGGCTCCACAGTTGGAGCTCTCGACTCTAGAGTGCATGCTTGGTAGTTGTAGTGCACAGGCTTAGTAGTCACGTGGCAGGTGGAATCTTCCCGGACCAGGGATCAAACCCTTGTCTCCTACATCGGCAGGTGGATTTTTTTTACCATTGAGCCACCAGGGAAGCCCTTGATTTCTGCTTTGTAAATAGGTTCATTTGTATCTTTTTTTTTTAGATTCCACATGTAAGTGATATTACATATTTATGTTTCTCTGTCTGCCTTGCTTCATTCAGTATAACAGTCTCTAGTTCCAAAGTTTTTCTTCTCCTAAGAAATTTTTTTTTTTTAAAGGAGTAATAGTATATTCATTGTTATAAAAAAAACAGCAGCAAAACTTCTAACAATAGAGAAGCATTCACAGCAGGAAGTGAAAGTTTGACTCCCTTCCCCAGCTGAGGCAACCGCTGCTGCCTGTTTGGCCCAGAGCCTTCAGGACTCTCCTGAAGATAGATGGGAGAGTTGCTTCTTTTTTCTCCCCACCTTGATTCATTACTCTCCTGTGGAAATCATCAGCTTTTGGGCTGCTATTGTTCAGTCACCCAGTCGTGTCCGACTCTTTGTGACCCCACGGACTGCAGCACAACAAGCCTCCCCGTCCCTCACCATCTCCCAGAGTTTGCCCAAGTTCATGTTCATTGCATTGGTGATGCCATCCAGCCGTCTTATCCTCTGATGCCCTCTTCTCCTTCTGCCCTCAATCATTTCCAGCATCAGGGACTTTTCCAATGAGTCAGCAGTTCACATCTGATGACCAAAAGACTGGAGCTTCAGCTTCAGCGTCAGTCCTTCCAGTGAGTAGTCAGTGTTGATTTCCCTTAAGATTGACTGGTTTGATCTCTTTGCTGTCCAGAAGACTCTCAGGTGTCTTCTCCGGCACCACAGTTTGAAGGCATCAATTCTTTGGTGTTAATCTTCTTTATGGTCCAGCTCTAACCGTCGTACATGACCACTGGGAAGACCATAGCCTTGACTCTATGGACCTTTATCGGCAGAATGTTTCTTCTTTTCAACACACTGTCTAGGTTTGTCCTGCCAAAAAGCAGGAAACCTTTATTCTACCATTGCCCTTGCTTGGGAATTTGAGACCATCCTACCAATCCACAGAAAATTTGGAGCACTTATATTCTAAGTTCTGTGTACACCTTGGATATATCATCTAGTTTACTGTTACTTCCATAAAATGGGGTGGATACTCATTAGAAAATGATGATAACAATAAAATAGGTCCTTCCATTTGTACAGTGCTTTATTGCATACCAAGTGCTTTTATAATATTTTTGTCTCAACATTTCTTCATGGTGCCCCTGCGTGACATACGGAGTAGGGCTGGTGGCATCCTCTCCCTTTTTTATTTTTATTTTTTCCTCTCCCTTTTTTAACAGTTGTGGAACAGGCTCACAGAGCATGAGCTGTCACTCAGATGATACCAAACGAGATTCGGAGAGGTTGAGTCACTCGTTTGTCCATGGCTGCCCACCATGAATTCCAGCTCGTGTACAGCTCCCAGGCAGTAAAGCGGGGCAGGAAAATAAATGCCTGCGTGTGAACCGAGGGGTCTCTCATTTATTTTCATGCCCTGCACTACTGCTTGGGAGTTGTACACGGGCTGGAATTCAGCTCTGGACTGCTAGTGTGGTTTCCTCTCCATCATCTCCCCTGGGTCACCCCCAATTAGTGTCACCCACCACTGCCCTGCCAAGCAGGAGACCTAGTTCATTAGGGAAGGGCCTCCACAAGTCTGGAGTGCGCCCAGAAAGGCCTGCGGTGCCCACCCCCACTCCTCAGCCCCCGGCCACAGGCTGCTCTGCCCTGAGTGGCAACCTGCATTAAGCATTCCACTCATCATCTCAGGGATGATGGAATCCTAACCTTTTCGGAGACACCGTGCTCTGTCACAAGCATTGCTCTTTTTAAAAGAGATTAATTCACTTGCCGCATTTTGTCCGTTGGTGAAAATCACAGGGGAGAGCAAGGGTGGCTTTCTCAGGCCTCAGAGGCCCTTTCAGCTGCTCTCAGCAGGCATCCACCCGCCCAGCTGTCCCAGGACTTTGAAATGACTGCCCGCTGGGCATTCACTTGCAAAGCAACAAAATGAAATGGAGGAGACCTGGGTTTGTGAAATCCCAACTTTTGGGGCTGCTCTGTACCCTGAGGGAAGTAGGGGAGGGGCCCATTCAGCTCTGAAAGGGGAAAAGTTGTTTGGAGTTGGGGTCACTTGTGGTTTTTGTTTCTTCTGGTCCTTCCTTGAGTCACCAGGTGCCATCACTCCTTATGGAGTCCTGCCTTGTGGTATCTCTTTTAATCCTTGTAACCACCTTGCACAGTAGGGATTAATAGCCCCAGTGTCACAGCTAATAAGTGACAGAACCAGAATCTAAACTCTAGCCTTTGGACTCCAGGACCGTTGCAGTAGATTTACCTCCTAGGAATGATCCCTCAGGTTTACAGAACCCTTTCCCTCAGATTTCAGTACTTGTGTGTGTGTGTGTGTGTGTGTGTGCACTCAGTTGTGTCTGACCCTTTGCAACCTCGTGGACTGTAGCCCACCAGGCTCCTCTGTCCATGGAGTGGGCATGTAAAGAGACTGAGGCTCAGAGGATAATATATCTTTCTTGGGGTGTCAGGAGGTGGCAGAACTAGAACTTGAATGCAGATCTTCTGCCCTGTGCTCTTTCTACTCTGCTCATTGAAAGGATAGGAAGTTTGGAGAAGCCTTCTCTCCCAGCATTTTCTCCTCTTAAAAGAAAACCCTGCAATGTACAGAAAAAGGAAACCTCAGCATGCTAATATGCATACAACAAGTATCTCCAAATTGTTGCTAATCAGAGACATGCAGATTAAAAGGATAGCATGAAATCCCTTTATACCTATTGCACTTGCAGTGATTAGAAAGTTGGCTGCTGCCAAGTGTCCGCGGTACACAGGAATGCCCCTGTTCTGCTGGTGAGAGGGTAGATGGAACAGCTGTCCTGAGGAGGATCCTGGTGCTATTTAGTCAAATCAAGTGGTGTAAACCCCATAACCCAGGTATCACACTCTGAGTACATGCCTTGAGAAAAGACTCACACAGGTCCAAAAGGGCATATGCAACAGGATGTTCTTTGAATGTTGCTTTTGATGACCAAGAGATGAATGTTACCTGGATGGGTATGCCTGGGAGAACAGAGAGGGAATATCTCTGATGGATGTGCTGTGGAGAATTAAGTTGCAATTTAAAATGGAATTATTATATCCTTAGCAATGTGAACATATTTTAAAATGCAGTTATTTGTGGGAAAAAGTAATAAATACACACATGCATGTTAAAAAAAGGAAAGAAAACCCTGCTTGGCTTAGGTCTTGGGAAAGAAAGAATTTCTGACTTGTCTCCTCAGTAGCGAGCATCAGCCAGGCACAGAGTAAGTGTGTGCATGTTTGTTGAATAAATGAACAAAAGAGTGCTTGGAGCTGGCCTGGCTAAACTACCCAGGTCATCCTGTATGACCCTGTCTTAGAATCCCGAGTTACTTGCCAATTTGCCACTACCAACTTGAGGCCACATCGCTTAGTTCCATCACAGAGATGGAAACAGGTTAGGGTGACAGGCAAAAACCACTCTGTAATGAGTACCTGCTATATACCAGGTACTGAGTTGGGATCCCTGCAAGTCAGAGATTGTTGTCCCTACCTGATAGGTGAGAAAATTGAGACTCAGAATTTATTTGTTCAGCATTATCTAGCTGGACTAGAATTTGAATCCATGTCTGACTTACTCCAGAGCCTTCTATTCACCTTTTTATTACACTACACTCAGCCCTTAAGGAGAAGGCAATGGCATCCCACTCCAGTACTCTTGCCTGGAAAAATCCCGTGGATGGAGGAGCCTGGTAGGCTGCAGTCCATGGGGTCGCGAAGAGTCGGACATGACTGGGCGACTTCCCTTTCACTTTTCACTTTCCTGCATTGGAGAAGGAAATGGCAACCCACTCCAGTGTTCTTTCCTGGAGAATCCCAGGGACGGAGGAGCCTGGTGGGCTTCCGTCTATGGGGTCGCACAGAGTCGGACACGACTGAAGCAACTTAGCAGCAGCAGCAGCTGCATTCCTTAAGGGGCCGGAAGAGGAAGCATCTCAAACTTTTTTCTTCAGCACTGCCTCCAGAAGAGTGTTGCTTCCAGAATTCTCAGGCCCAGGCAGGGAAACGCGGGTCACTGACCCAATTAAGGTATAAAGGGTCTGGCTTCATTGAGTTTCTTCTGTCCACTGCTGCATTAGCTCATCTCCCTTGGTCTATGTTACAGCAGCTTCCAAAGTGGTCTCCTTGTCCCTGTTTTCTACTCTGTCTCCTTTCAGACTCAGCTTGCTTAAGCTATTAGGTTAATTCTTTAATTTCTTTTACCCCAAACTTCAGTGACAACCCCACTTGCCTGTGGTGAGCCTCTAAGGAATGGCAAATAGGTTTCCTGTTATTGATGGTGGCTAATTGGAGCCAGTGTTGAGGAGGCTCTTTCAAGGGCTCCATGCAAAGAGCTGCTAAGAGAGATTTGTGATTTCTGACTCAAATGCAGGAGCCCAGGACCACATGCCAGGCATTTGTCAACCCTTTAGATTGGTTTTTTGATGTAGGGTCCACTATTGATTTCCTGAGGACCTATGAACCTCTGGACATTGTATGTAAAGAAAGTTTTATGTTGTTTTTGAATGTGTGTGCACCTGTGCACTTTTTTGGAAAGGATCATCAGCTTTGATCATATTCTCAGAGGAGTCCATGGCTCAAAAAGGTTTATGCCCACTGCCTTGTCCTCCTAGCTTGGCTTTTGAGACCCTCTGATAGGCCCTTAATCTCTTGGCAGCTGCCTGTTTCTGTGCTGTTAACTGTCACATGGATGGATCTGCCTGGTGGTCTGTTTGAGTATGCCTTCTCATCACTTCCCTGCTTCTAAACAGTATCTTGTGCCTTTTGCCTTTACTGGCGTGTATTTCCTCCTCCTCCTCTAAATTGTTCCTGTTCTTCAAGACAGAGTTCAGGTCTTTCCCTCAGAAACCTCTGATTTGCTTCAGCCCTTCCTGATTTTCTAGTCTTGTGGACTGGGGGCCAGAAACATGAAGCCAGCCAGCCAGAATCACAGTTAAAATCAGAACTCCAGTCTCTCAGTTCTCAGAACTTTGTGCTCTCCACGGCACCACTTGGCCTGCTGAACAAGGGAAGGTTTTGTCCAAAAAGAGATTTTTGTCTCAGAATATTATCCCTAGGGTTCTTAGCCTCTTTAACATTTTTTACTATGGACACTTATTTCTGCATAAAAGATGCTTAACAGTATGTAGTAAGATAAGAGGCCAAGGATTTTGCCCAGAAGAAACCTTTCAAATTAGAGGTGAGAGAAGGAGGGTTTCCCAACCTCCTCTCTCGACACTTTACCCTCACACTTCATACCTCGGTTGTGCAAGACCTCTCTCAGGGCTTCATATAACCCATGCTGCCTTCTACTCTGGTCGAGAGGCTTTACCTCTGCCTGAAACACTCCTCCCCTGCCTTGCCCGCTTTTGTCTGGCTAACTCTGTTATCATCACTTCCTCTGAGAGGCCTGATGGATCATTAAGACTTGGTTAGATTCCCTGGTTGTACACTTGCAACCTGCAGCCCCTTTTCCTAGCACTCATCAGATGTGTGGTGATGTGCTTGCTGGTCTGTCGCCCCTCAGACTTTAACTGCCTGTGTCAATGTCTGCAAAGGCAGGGAACAAATGAGTGAACAGATGAGTTCACAGGCTGAGTGAACAAATGAGTACATGTTGTGTCTCTTCATCCTTCCAAGCCTTCATCACCTGCTTACTTCAACAGCACAGACGTTAGAGTTGGCTTAGTCCAGAGAGGCAGCTACTACAGTTTATGGCAAAAGAATGGAGCTAGGACTCAACCCCAAACATCTGGACTTTTTGCCAGGGCCCTTTTGTCTGAAACCCACTGATGAGTAGACAGCCTCACAGTTCCCCCAAACACCCATTCCTAATAAGCAGCTCCTTCCTTGTTGGTGAAATGCTCTTGACTGTTGGTCTCCCCCTTTCCTGGCCTCCTACAACACTTCTGGTGGGAGACCACACACTATAGGCTTTGGTTTCCTGTTATCCTGAGTCCTCCCTCCACAACTAAATTCTTTAGAACAAACCCCCTGTGTTCACCATACGCCCATTCCAGAATTCAGCACAGGATCAAGTGCATATCATGCTGATTTGTTGGAGTCTATTCAGTCTTTTGTCTTCCATGTTACATGGAGCCAGGTTCAGTATAGAGGAGGGGTGATGAGGTGAGAAGAGTTCAGGCTTCAGAGCCATTGTTGACTTGGGTTCCAGTCACAGGATTGCCCCTTACCTAGCTTAGTGACCTTTATCGATCATTTCACCTCACTGAACCTGTTACCTCATCCATGAAAAGAGATTAACATCATCAGCTCCTTAAGCGTGTGTGAAGAGTGAATGGAGAGAATGTATACAAAGTTCCCAGGCAGTTCCTGCTTGTGGGAGGTGCTCAGTAAGAGTTGGTTCTCTTTACTCTCCTTCTCTCTGTCTACCCCCACATTATAGGGTCCCCTGCTACCAGGACCTAAAATACCCAGACTTTTAGGGGTATGGTTAAAACCTCATGCTTGTTCATTTATCCAACAGCTGCTGAGCTGCTACCCACATGCTAGGCACTTACATATCCAGTCAAGTAGGTTCACATGGACTTTCCTAGAAACCTCATCTAGCATTTCTAACACTCTTTCCATCTTTCCTTGGGTTCAAAGAGTTCCAATTCCAAACAGCCACCATACAGATAAACTTGAGAAGTGGGATCCTTCTCTAAACTGGTAGCTACATAGATGAGAAGTGTTGTCGAACATTTGGTGCTAAGCATGGAGAAATTCTAAGGACAGAGATCTGTGGACTGGATGAGTCAGGAGAGCCTTGTTGAGGGAGAGTCCCTGAAGCCAGGATTGTATCCCATGAAAGTAGGATTAAAATAGGCAGAGAGTCAGGGAGAGAGCATTCTGGATAGAGAGAAGGCAGATTCTTTCCTTGGAAGGCTGGAAGGATAAGAGTGGAGGCAGACTCATTTAAGGGAAGAGAGAGAGGAAGAGGAAGCGTAGAGTCAGGGGATAGTGACCAGAGGAGCTGGGATGGGTATTTGGTTCTCAGAGGTCCATAACTATTTCCAAATCCATCTAGTCCCTGTTGATTTTTCATGTCTTCCACTCTTATGTCCATGATAAACCATACACTGAAAATATTTCTGTCTCTCTCCAGACTATTGTCGGAAGGTGCAGATGTCAATGCAAGGCACAAACTTGGCTGGACAGCACTGATGGTGGCAGCCATCAACCGAAACAACAGGTGAGAGATCTCCTTCCACCCTCCCTTTGCCAGAACTCTGCAGACCATTATCCTGAACCTTCTCCTACCCTTGGCCTGTCCCCCTGCTGTCTTCTCCAGAGGCAGGGAAATGGCCTCAGCCTAAGGGACTGTTCTTCACCTGGTGCAATGGAACATTCAGGAGATGTGGAGTGGGAAGCTCTAGCTCTGGATCCCAGCTCCATCATTCACTGACTTTGTGACCGTAGGTGAGTCGTTTGCTTTACCGAAGCAACAAAATGTTTGAGAAGCCTGTTGTTAGGGATTAAGTATACATGTTCAAGTTATCATCATGATTCCGCGATCATATCTTTTCATGTTGAGCAGTCCGCAGTCACTGTCCCCAGCAAGGGCTTCTTTGGGCTGTTCCTTTGGAAGTTCTGATAGAAATTAGGGAAGGTGGGGTGTCTGCCCTCTCATTGCAGGCTCTGCTATTTCCCTGCCCGCTCCCCTAGTGCCCCAGCATGCGGCTGTTGGGTTAAGGTTGAAATAGTCTACTTTGTACAGAGAGTGAGCTCTACTACTCAACAGCCATCCACATGATACGTATTAATTTTGCCACTGAGACAACTGAAGCCCAAAGAGGCAGAGTGATTTGTCTGAGGTCACATAGATAGCATTTAGAACCTGGTCTGGCTGCCTGCAGAGTTTGTTTTATTGTAACTCACTGCTGCCTCCCTCTGCCAGATCCCAGGCTCAGGCAGGATGCTTTGAGTCTCTAGTTGTGATTGTGCAAAAGAACTGACTGAAAAAGCAGAAAAAGATGCTTTCAAAGAAGGCAGACTGGGCACTTCAGTAGCAGCCACTGATATTGATCGTGGGAGGTGCCAATTTTCATTTTCCCTTCAACCAGATCTTTAAGGCTTTTATCTGCCAGTACCAACCACCTTTGTGAGAGTCATAAAGGTGGGAGAAATCAACCAAACTGGGACTTTATAATGTCGAGGTGGCACTGCCTCAGACGGGCTGAGAGACTTAGCTGTGCTGAGCTAGTTCTCTCTTCTCTGCTCCTCTGTCATGAACTTGATCTCAGCACTCTGTCTCCTTATTTGCCTCTTTAGCTCCAAGCACATAGTCTTTAAAAGAAAAATTGATGTAAACAGGCTCTACAAGTCAGAGCCTAGTGTCCAGTTCTGGTTCCGACCCTTGGTTGAATTTCAAAATTCTGTGGACACCTAGTTTCTTCACCTGAAAGCAACTATTTCTGCAAACATTTGGTAGATAACTCCTCTGAGCCAGGCTCTGTGTTAGTCACTGGGGAATCAGAGGCCTTGGGAGTTCATGGTCTCATGTGGAAAAGATAGGCAGGTAGAGAAGCAGAGTATAGTATAATCAGTGATGTCAGAGCAGTGTGGACAGGATGTTATCAAAGCAGAGAGGGTGAGAGGACTGAGTCTGACAGAAGAGCAGATGGATTCTCGCTGTATTCTTGTGAGAGTCAGATGAGATAATGTATGTGCCACAGGTTACAAGTGGTGAGATGTCATTCTCTGCTGCTAGACCTGTCCACACACAATCACATGCGTTTGTTCTACCTCTGATAACCTGACTCCCCTGCCTCCAGCCCCTCCCACCAGTCTTTCCCAGCTTGCAGGTATCTCTATCTGCAAGAGATAACCAGGGGTGGAGAAAAGGGAGGGGGTGTGAGCCCTTCTGTGTGTGATATTTTCAGCGTTGATACAGGATAGGAAGTAACACTGTATTTAAGAGCAATGCCAGTCATTGAGCAGATTGCTCATAGATGTGCTTTGAGGACACTTCTCTCTCAATCTAATGAGTTGTTGGTTTAACTGATTGCTCTTTCTTTATCCAGGGCCATTAGCAAATCAGTGACACTCACTGAGCAAAGTGAGAGTGTTGGTTTGTATTTACTTGGTTCCTGGGACTAATTACTGGTGTTTTAAGCTTCTATTTTATGCCCTCCTCTTCCTTCCAGTACCCAACAAGCCCAGATTTTTACAGAAAACAGCATACTTTCAGGTTAGATTTATTTATTCATATCACAAAAATTGTTCAGTAACTTCTCTTTACCAGGCACTGTTCTTGATAGACAAATATCTCTGTCCTCAAAGAGCTTATTTCTGTACAAGTGGTGGTCCTTGGGTAGAAAGAGACAGAAACAAACAATATACAGTAAATTCAGTGCACAAGTAAACTATATAATATGTTAGAAGATAAGAAGTGCTAATGGGAAAAAAGGAAAAGTAGAATCTGGTATGCCAGGAATATACTGCTCAGGGTGGATAGGCCACATTCCTAAGGTACTGTGGGAGTGGTCTTGAAGGATTATTGTGTCCATCCCAGCACAATCTGCCAATGTTTTTCCGTGTTAGAAGTATGCTGATCCTCATCTTATCAGTCACCAAACCAGGAATCACACTGTCCAGGCCTGAAATGCCAGCACCTTTGAATTGGCTTTGTATCAAGCAAGAGTAGAGGGGCAGCACCCTGGGATTCAAGGCAGAAAACAGAGAACCTTTACCTCCTTTCCAGTGTTGGCAGCCCACAAGCTCACGGGAGATATCCTGAGAAAAGCCCAGTCGTTTCACCCTCCACTGCCTTTAGTGCCTGGCTGCTTAATGTGTTAAGTCCTTGGGGATATGAACACGATAGTCTCTATCCTTAAGGAGATAACTTCTTGTGAACTTTTATATATACATATATGTGTATATATATATGTGTGTGTGTGTGTGTACTTATTATTTAATTTAGAATGGAGAAAGTGTTATTTAGTTTTGAATAGAAAATATAGTGCTATAGAACAAAGAAAATCATTTATCCCCTCCTTTTATTTCCAAAAAGGGTTTGAGGTGACTTAAATTCAAATACAAACATAGATGTACACAGGAGAGTTAAAACTGGATCAAGATCAGAAATCATATTGGTAAAAGGAAAGATAATTCTATCAGGATTGAACTTGAGATTTTCTTTTCCAGAAATAGGTTTGTTGTTTTTTTAAAAATAATATAGAGAAGCAAGGAGCCATCAGCTGAATTTCCTCTATCTAGAAACCAGTCACTATATATCTATATCTGTGTGTGTCTAATTTTACATAAATGGGACCAGGCTGTACTCTCTGTAAGTCAGGTAACTTGTGGAATAGAGTATGAATTTAGTTAGAAGTTTCCTGACCAAGCAAAAAAGGATACAGAGAATTTTGGTTCTTCAGGAGAGAGGAACTTGGTTCTGATGTACGTTTTTATTATCATGTTAGGCATCTAGCAACTTAAAAAAAAAAAATTATACTGTGTTAGGTGCTGATGTGCTAGGCTAGAGGGCCTTCAGATACTAAGCATCCCAGCCTTTGCCTTAAGAAGCTTACTTGGACTGCTAACATCAAGGACTTGAGCATTGTGATGGCCATTGTCTTCACTAGCCGTCCTGCCAAAGATTTACCAACATTCTGCTCGGACAATCCTTTCACAAGCCTAGTAACAGCTTGGGTGTAGTATTGACTTGAGGAATAGTCGGCAGGGGCGGGCCCCTTCTCCACAGTGAGCCCTCCATAAGCCTCACGCCACAGGCACTTGTTTAGCCTAAATCTGGATGCCTCATTCCATGTTGCACTCTGACCCAGCCCAGTTAAAGGCTAAGCCACAGGGTCCGAGGATGACCACTGTAACTTAGCACAGCCTCTACTGGCTCGTGCAAATATACCCAGGCTTCAGCTAAATTCAATTAGTTTTTCTTTAAGAACGGAAAGAAATCCAATTTAACTAAACATGGACAGACGGTGGAAGGCACTTTGATGTTACAACTTCTCAGTGATGCTTTACTTAGTCACAAGTTCATAAGCAAGAAGGCTTAATTACTTGGGAAAACACAGGATTAAAACTGGATACAATGGTAGAGTATCCGCTCTTGGGCAACTTGATTCGAACCCATGCACTGAGTTCGTGTGTGGTGCAAACTTTGATGTGCGCGGTGACAAGCTGGAAGTCATGACCCCCTCAGGGATGCTCCTTCAGATGGCATTTGCAGGATGTGTAGGCGGAGAGGCAGGGCCTGCCAGGCCTGTTTGCTCTACTTTGATGTCCAGGCAGCCACAGGCCCCACTGTTTGCTCTTTCACTGAGGGGTGGGTTGGGAGCCTCCTACCTTTCCCAGTGGACAATGGCCAGCGATGGAGTGTGACGACTGTTGACCATTCCAGGAGCCTGGCGGACCAGAACAAGGCTTTGGGAGGTGCCGAGCCTGGGGGGCCAAAAGCTGTTTATAGGACAGCCGTTTCTCCAAATGTAGCTTTCTTTAAAGCCCCGTGGTGGTCAGGTGCTCATCGTGGACGTACAAACGGTCTTGTGAGTTTTAATAGGTACTGAGTACTGCTTGACCCTTTGTCCAGTGGCACTAAGGTACTTGTCAATTGAAAGTTTGTCTTTTCTGTTTTCTTGATCAACATGTATGTGCAGGGGATCGTGGTTTGGAATTAAAATGGTACGATTTCTGATTCCTCAAAAAAGAAGCTGTCAAAACACGTCTGATAACAAAATTATCCAGAAGGTATAAAGAACTCTTGGACACATCAGTAATAAAAAGATAGCCCAGTTTTTAAAAGATAGGCAAAAGACTTGAGCAGACACTTCACCACAGAAGAGATTGATGGGAAATAAGTACATGAAAAATACAAAGCATTTAGGGAAATGCAAGTTAAAATCATGGTCAAATGCTATTCCCTTTGACCAAATACGTATTCCAATGACCAAAATTTTAAAAACTGACAGTACCAAGTGATGATAGTGATGCAGAACAATTGTCATAACTGCTGATATGAATGTGTAATGGAATAGCCACTTTGGAAAACATTTTAGCAATTTCTTATAGAGGCAAAATGTACATTTATCAAACAGCCCAGCAATACCAACTCCTAGATATTTGTCCATGAAAAATAAAAACATATCTACCTAGAGACCTGTATGCAAATATTTACAGTAACTTATTCATAATCCCCCAAAACTCAAAATCACCCAAATGTCCATCTTCTGA